CCAGTTTCAAACCTTTTCTATTCACCATGTGTCATAAAGATACCTCGTCATGGGGCTGTCATAAACACCAGACTACACATGTCTCACAGGCTCATCCCTGTGACACACAGAAAAAGATCACAATGACAACAGCTTTTAGCCTATACACCAGATACCTCAAACTCCTCGATTTTTATTAAAGATTCTCAGAAAAAAAAAAAGCAGCAAACAGAAATCTGCTTGCACTGGGGCACACCTTTCCTAATCTGATTCAAGTTATGAATACAAGGGTGCTGAGCCAGCAGTTTCCCAAAGACATTCTTATTCCTTGTTTGTTCCTGCCCTCCACACAAATACTCAGACACATCCAAGCAATGGGAAAAAAAAAATTAAAAAAAATAGGAAAGAAACAAAAACCAACCAAACCCGCTCAGATTTAAACACAGACAAGCTCCTTAATTCAGTGTGCCCTGTAATCACACAAACCATCCTGCAAAGGAGGATGGATCACTGAGCAGCAAGGCTAGATCTTTCCCAGCCTGTAACATACTAAAACTACATACTTACTACAAGGTCATACCAACTCAGAAGCATGACTGATGCTTTCAAAGCAGAAATCAGATTTATAGTTCATCATATTTACTTTTTAACCCTAATGGAAATTGCATGTCTTATGGTCACATGCCTGTTAATACAGCTTTCTAGCTCTAAGTGTTCCATTTCCATAAAACATTTTGGAAACAGAAGTGATTGTACACATTGCTCCCACTTAAGTTTCAGAAGTTTACAGAACCTTAAGAATGCTGTTGCTCCAAAAGAACAATACTCATCTTACTTCTGATCTTTGGAATGACTCAAAATAGTAGTGTCTCTTCGAAAGATAACAGATTTTCATACAAAATGGACTTCTGAGAGAAAACAGCTTGATCTAGATACAGAGTATTCTAAATAAATCCACTAAGTTGCTCACCAACAAACATAAGATATTTCCAATTCAAACCATGACCTTAGAAACATAATGTTCCTGCAACACCACATGAAAGCTGAAACAAGATCCTCAATATATACTGATTTGGCACGCTAAAAATGTATGAATTGGGCATACTTTGCTGGTATTTGGAATGTAGACCATCTTAACCTCATTCTGAAAACCAGGCTTATTGCCTAAATTCCACTGAATGTTCTCTCTGATCAATATGCCAGCCGCCACCCAGTAAAAACGACTGACAAATTTCCACAGAAGTTGGCTGCAAATTAAACTTCAGGAAGACTTCAAAACATTCATCCTTCTCCACTTCCTCCTTCGAAAGCCATCTTCCCATCGACCAACAAACATGGTTATTGTCTACAGCAAAACAACGAGTTATAAAAGAAAAAAAAAAATAAAGCGAATCCAGGGTGGGTGGTTCGGCAGGACGGCAGCTGCAACGGCGAGCGATGAATGAAGCGGCCACGGGGTATTTCCCGGAGCCCGGGGTGCCTCAACGCGGCCAGCGCCGCGACCTGGTGGGCGAGCGGGGAGACGCGGCGGCCCCCGGTCAGGTGGGAAGGTGGGCGAGTGACAGGCGGCGCTGGGGCCGGCCTGCCC